CCTTTTCCAAACTGCGGTATACCTTGAAACGGTTATCGTCCCATGCCAAATTTCAGCACTATTCAAACTCTTTTCAAACATTGAAAACACTAGATCATAATTATTATTATTATTATTATTATTATTATTATAATTATAACCTTTATTTTACCAGTAAAGACACATTGAGATTAAAAATCTCATTTACAAGATAGTCCTGGACAAAAAATTAGGCAGTACACGTCATATGGGTCTAACAAACAACAAACAAAAAACAATTGACATTTAACATGAATCACACATTGATAAACAAACCATTCAAAACATCTACAGGTCTGTGTTTCAATTTCTAAATCATTTCTGCTATTTTTAAAAGCATCTAGTGAAATCAATTTTTTAAACTGCAACATGTAGTTTATTCCATGCAAAAGGTGCTGCATATTTAAAAGCCTTTTCCCCATCTCAGTCCACACTTTAAGAAAAGACTGAAATAAATTCTATAATAAATATACTCTGATCGAAGGCCATTAAAATGAATGCATTTTCAAGGATTTTCAGCACTTGCAAGAACCCTGTTAAAGGCATAACTAGATTAATTAGGCAAGTTAGGGAAATTAGGAAATTCATTGCATAATAGTAGTTTGTCCTGTAGACAATAACAAAAAAAAAAAAAATTATATATATATTTTTAAATTATATATATATATATATATTTTTATGTGTGTATATATATATATATATATATATATATATATATAATTTTTTTTTATAAATCTAGTCGAAATAATATTATAGGAAATACTGTGAAAAATTTCCTGCTCTGTTAAACATCATTTGTCAAATATTTAAAAAAAAAATTCACTGGAGGGCGAATAAATCTGACTTCAACTGTGAACAACCTGATTTCCACTTAGATACAAACACACAAAGAATTGTGGGGCAATCGAATAAAAAACATGTTTAAACAGCTTGCTGCTTCATAAATCACACACCAGTCACCCACATTCCCTTCTCACACACACATCAGACCTGCAGATCAAGCAAAAAGATCTTTCTCACGCTTTAAATTACCAAAGTTGGCAGGGAGTGTTGATGTGTGTGTTTCCATTTGTTTTTCGAGAAGGTCTGAGTATCGCTGAAGGGGATAGAAGTAATCAGAGATGTTTCTTTCTTTCTCTGACACATACTGTATACCTGTCGGAATCCAAATAAATGCATTACTTCTCGTATCTAATTTGACGTGAATAAGGACACATGCTGTATGATGCTGTTTTGTGTCATCAGAGGTCAAAGGTCACTCCGCTAAAACCATCTGTTAGCTATCCACTTAGTCCATTGACAAGAATGGGCAAGAAGACAGATAAATGTTTACGCCGTAACTCTACAGATGTTGTGTTTGATGGCTCGTGCCACTGATTTAAAAGCTAATGATAACAAACAGTTCTTAAAATGTTTTGATCATAACTGGAATCCCTTTGAAAATGTTTTAGAACCCGCTAATGAATGAAAAAATAAACACTTTTAGCATTCAGAATGTAATCTGTTTACAGAAGCTTGTTAACAATTGTCTGCTGGTGTGAATGCTAATGTGGTATGTTTGCTAATGCTAATAACAGTACACTGCTACAACAGCACAATAATAATCAAAATGACACTGAGGAACTATATTATCAGATTTACATTGAATGATAAACATATTGACGACAAATCCGAATCCATCATGATTGAAAACTACAGTGCATATCAATAAACAGTTATTGTCCACTGGTGTCGATGCTAATATTGTTATAGTTGTGAACAGGGCTTTTACTAATGTTAATAGTAAATTTAGCCAAATAATATTGGATATTTGAAAGCACCAAAACATCTCGGACAACTACAAAACAAACATTTTATATCTCTGCTGTCCGCTTGTTAAAAGTGACGTCCCGCGAATCAGCTTTCAGGTCCAAGCGCTATATCAAACTGTATGGGGAGACTCATCAAATGGTAATATTAAACCTTTACAAAACACTGTAATACTTTTGAAAGTCACGATCACAATATATATACACAATATATATACCAAGTCAAAATCGGGGCTAAAATCATGCAGTCTGAACTAGAGGTCTGCATTCCCGACCAGATTTCTACGGCGCGGGTATAAATTTCCGAATAAATCACGGGAGCGGTCGGTAACGGGTTTAATTTGGGACGGGAGCGGGCTGTCTAGCAATATCGCTCCCGACTCCCGAGTGAGCACGCGTATGTATGTGTGTAAATGAAATAGCGCGATGCTGTGTTTAGCTTGTTTGTTGCAGTGTGTGTGTGTATGTATGCGCACGCGCGAATGAGAGATATGTGTGTGTGTGTGTTTGTGTGTGTGTGTGTGTGTGTGTGTGTGTGTGTGTGTGTGTGTGTGTGTGTGTGTGTGTGTGTGTGCGCGCGAATGAGAGATAGAGCTTTGCCTGTGTTTGTGCTTGGTGCTAATGAGTGTGTGTTAGGGGGCGCGCGCGCGCGAACGAGAGAGAAAGCTTTGTCTGTGTGTGTGTGCTTGGTGCTGTGCATGTGTGTGTTTATACAGACAGCTTGTTATAGGCTGTCTGGACTGTATAACTGGGTGATTTTCGTTTTTTTTCTCCCCCCGCTCTTAAGCGGGATCGGGCGCGGCGGATAGAAAACAGGGCGGGTCGGGCAGCGGGACATCAAGTACTTAATATAAGCGGGAGCGGTCGGGTTCCGGCTAAAACCTGGCGGGTGCAGGCGGGAGCGGGATTCAAAATTTAGTCCCGCGCAGATCTCTAGTCTGAACTCAGCATTAGTCTTTCGGATGAGACGTTAAAACAAGGTCCTGACTCTCTGTGGTTGTGAAAAATCCCAGGATGTCCTTCAAGAAAGAGTAGGGGTTTAACCCTGGCATCCTGGCTAAAGTTGCCCGCTGGCCTCTGTCCATCATGGCCCCCTAACCATTCTCATATCACAATTGGCTTGGTCTCCTCTCCACCAATCAGCTGGTGTGTGGTGTGCGGTCTGGCGCAATATGACTGCTGTCGCATCATCCAGGTGGATGCTGCACACTGGTAGTGGATGAGGAGATTCCCCCCTATGTGTATAGCGTGTCTGTATATGTATATAGAGTGTCTAGAAAAGGGCTATTGTAAGGAATTAATATTATTATTATTATTATTATTATTAGTTGTAATATGCATTGCTAAACTGTAAAAATAAAAAGATGACTAATTAAAAAATTGTAAGGCAACTTGCTGCACAGATTTTCTGAGTTGGCTCAACTTTTAAGCACTGTAGTTGACTTGATTTGGTTAAAAATGAGTCCACTCAAAAAAAGCTGTGCAGCATGTTTTATTACAATTTTAAGTTGAGCCAATGCTTTTTTTTTACAGTGCAAGAACTTAATTGTGACATCTTTAAAGGCAATTTTCTCAGTGTTTTAGTGTTGAATCCTCAGATTCCAGATTTTCAAATAATCTCTGTCCTATCCTAACATACATACATAGATGGAAATATTGTACATCAATTTTTAAAAATGAGAAAATAAGGCTGGTTTTGTGGTCGAAGGTCACAAATGCATGTTTCAAATATTGCTTAGTCCACCTTTAATATTGATTAGTTGATTTGTATATGCTAACAGGCAGGAAAAAGCCTCAGTTTTGAAAAAGAACACTGGCTAAGTCACTTGACATTAATGAGATTTTAGTAATTGAGTAACGATGGACACGTGGAGTTGGGCAGGAGGTAAGGTTAAAGGTCACCATGGTTGAATCCTGTTGTGTGTCACTGGTGACCTCTTGACCTCAAACATTCATATCTGATGTCAAAAAGACAGCTTGACAAACCACTGATCAATAATCTTTTTTGTTGCCAGATTGTGCAATATTTTATTCCAATAAGGACATGCTGATATTGCATGATGTCACTATATTGAACCTATAATGAAGTAAGTCATGAGGTTTGTGGTAGGGCTGAACAATATATCAATTCAGCATCGATATCACAATGTCACATTGCAGTTTCTATAGACTTTAGACGGGAGAGCGCATGACACAGAGACAACACAAGCCATGCGCTCGCATAAAACGAGACTAGAACACGCAGCCAATGAGAACTCATTAACCACATGTTCATGACAACAAAAGCACAACACTTAAGCACACGACAAAAGCACGTCACCACAATGTGAGCACATAGCCACGTGCTTTGACAACAGACGCAAGACACGAGCACACAATGAATGAAAACACTCACCGTGCGCTCACACACGCAGCGTGCATGCTTCATCCCAGCGCGGACCAAAACCGAAACCAACTAGACTGAGACGCTGGAAATGAAATACCATGCTGCAGACAGACGAAAACACAAACACGAGCACAAGAGCGCGCGCGTCCGAGGCACGCAAAGCCCGTGCGGCCGCATCAAGCGGGAGCGTGCACACTCTGCGCACACCCATGACGGCGCGTGCGCACACAGAGACAGAAACAAGTACTCGACCCAAGAAAACTCGAGCCGAGCACAACAGGACAGGACTAGACATGACAAGTGTCCGGATTCTGCCACCAAAACAAGAATTTACAAGACCAGAGTGGCAGAACCCTGACACGCACTGCTTATTACACTTTTATCTTTGCTCTACCTTGTTTATGCAAAATTATTCCAATCTAAATGAAGAATTTCATTTAAAATAGAGCTATTCAAGCCTGAAATCTGCTGAAATTGTATTCATATTGCAATATATATTTGTTTGGACTTTCAGCAGTGCAAATTAAACCACACTGAACTGAACTCAACTCATCAACTCTGAAAACTAGACTGACACAGTTTCAATCTACTGAAACTTGAGCTGCTTTGACACAATCTACATTGTAAAAACACTATAGACATAAATATCAATTGAATTAAAATTAATATTGCAGAACAACAAAATATCACAACAGCAGATCTTTCCAATATCGTGCAGTCCTAGTCTGTGGGTATGTTAAAGATATAATACTTAACTCCACTTTCCATCCACTTCTTTTGTACTGTAGATATTTGGGGAGGAACAGGTCCGCATGACCTCTGAGGGATCTGACTGCCGTTGCAAGTGCATCATGCGGCCTCTGACTCGAGACGCCTGCGCCCGCTTGCGTACCGGAAGTGTGCGCGTGGAGGATTTTTACACGGTGGAGACGGTGAGCTCCGGGGCGGACTGTAAATGCTCCTGCACAGCTCCACCTTCCTCACTCAATCCCTGCGAGAATGAATGGAAGAGGGAGAAACTGAAGAAACAGGCTCCAGAGCTGCTGAAGGTAAGTTATTTTGTGCAGTGCTTAAAAAAATATTGAAGATTGTGAATATGAATAATAGGGGTGTCAAAATTATTTGTTTGTTCGATGCACCGCGATGCAGATGCAGACAATTCGGTATTGGGTCAGTAATAGATCATAATCCATAATCTATAATAGATCATAATCGGCTATTATGTACTGACGTCATTTATCTCTTATGCACTATGTTGAGGTAGAATACGGTGAATGAGGAAGCAAGGGTGAGTAAAATGCTCCAACTACTTAAAAACAGCTGTGAAAAATTCACTGCTTGTGAGTTTGCTGGACAGTGATTGTGAGTTTCTCTACACTGAAGATACAGCAGAACCCAGAAACCCTTTTTCACTGTGGTGGAGAAAAGCTGTAAAACTCAGTACCAGAGGGTTAATCAAATTCTGCATGATTGATGATCATTTTCTACTGGTCTGCATTACAAATATAGGCACATCTTTGTGTTTCAACAATTTACTATTGTGTTTGGATGACACATAAATACAACCTAGCTAGCAAAAATCATGTGGCTCAAATCCGGCCACACCAGAGACTTACATCCGGCCCACATACTGCATGGAATGATGGCACTTGGGCGGTCCACTCCTGTTTGCCTGATCTGGGCCACAATTAAGCCATAGCAATATCACATATCAGCCAGAATTCAACCAAATGAACCAGAACTGACCCGACTCTGGGCCACAATTTTTGCTTTTATTCTGGCCCAGATCCGGCCCACACCAGACACTTACATCCGTGGACTGGACCACATACTGAATGGAACGGTGGCTCTATGGCGGTCCGCTCCTGTTTGTCAGATCTGGGCTACGAATAAGTCAAAGCAATATCGCATATTATTCAGAATTCAACCAAATGAACCAGAACTGACCCTATTCTGGGGCACAGTTTGCTTTTATCTTGACCCATATCTGGCTTAAATCTTACACTTGCTGGGTGTGGCAAAGTACAAAATTCCTAGCATGCATTGCAGTATGAATACATTTTACCGGCTGGAGCATCACAGTTTTCATTATTGGCTTGTGATTCTGCTGTTTATATTTGCGTTGTTGATTTTGTCACTTTTAGTCTCCTGTTTGTGATGTTTGTGAGTTTTCTTCATTTTGTTAATTGTCACCGTTGTTGAGGTTCATCCGAATATTCACAAAAAGTGTCCCACACATGTTTAAAGATAACTGGGCCAAATTTGCCATATCTTTTCTGGGCCACTATAGGCTAATGGCTGCATTAGCCTGAGTTTACTGTGCCGAATATTTGCCAAAAGTGGCCCACATATGTTTTAAAATAACTGGGCCACATTTGCCATATTTTCTCTGGGCCACATTAGGCTCACAGCCACAATAGCCAGAGCTTACTGTGCCAAATTTCTGCCAAAAGTTTCCCACATATGTCTTAAAATAACTGGGCCACATTTGCCATATATTTTCTGGGCCACTATAGGCTAACGGCTGCATTAGTCTGAGTTTACTGTGCCGAATATTTGCCAAAAGTGGCCCACATATGTTTTAAAATAACTGGGCCACATTTGCCATATTTTCTCTGGGCCACATTAGGTTCCCAGCCGCAATAGTCAGAGCTTACTGTGCAAAACATTTGCAAAAGTGGCCCAAAAGTGGCCCACATATGTTTTAAAATAACTGGGCCACATTTGCCATATTTTCTCTGGGCCACATTAGGTTCACAGCTGCAATAGTCAGAGCTTACTGTGCCAAACATTTGCCAAAAGTGGCCCACATATGTCTTAAAATAACTGGGCCACATTTGCCATATTTTCTCTGGACCACATTAGGTTCACAGCCGCAATAGTCAGAGCTTACTGTGCAAAACATTTGCAAAAGTGGCCCAAAAGTGGCCCACATATGTTTTAAAATAACTGGGCCACATTAGGTTCACAGCCGCAATATTCAGAGCTTACTGTGCCAAATATTTGCCAAAAGTGGCAGACTTATGTCTTAAAATAACTGGGCCACATTTGCCATATTTTCTCTGGACCACATTAGGTTCACAGCCGCAATAGTCAGAGCTTACTGTGCAAAACATTTGCAAAAGTGGCCCAAAAGTGGCCCACATATGTTTTAAAATAACTGGGCCACATTAGGTTCACAGCCGCAATATTCAGAGCTTACTGTGCCAAATATTTGCCAAAAGTGGCCCACATATGTCTTAAAATAACTGGGCCACATTTGCCATATTTTCTCTGGACCACATTAGGTTCACAGCCGCAATAGTCAGAGCTTACTGTGCAAAACATTTGCAAAAGTGGCCCAAAAGTGGCCCACATATGTTTTAAAATAACTGGGCCACATAAGGTTCACAGCCGCAATAGTCAGAGCTTACTGTGCCAAACATTTGCCAAAAGTGGCAGACTTATGTCTTAAAATAACTGGGCCACATTTGCCATATTTCTCTGGGCCACATTAGGCTCACAGCCACAATAGCCAGAGCTTACTGTGCCAAATATTTGCCAAATGTGGCACACATATGTCTTAAGATAACTGGGCCACATTTGCACTTACTCATGTGAGCCACTTTTGGTTTAGACCCAGATTACTCTTAAATGACTATGCCACATTTTTACCAACTGTAGCCCACATTGTTCCTCCATCATTTGGGCCAAATTTATTATTTTCAACATGGGCCACATTAGGCTCACATTCAGATTACATTTTGCCATAAGGGCCAAATCTTTGCCTTAAATAACCCATATATGAATTCGAATCTTTTGCTCCTCTTTGCCATTGTACAGGTGGGCCACTTTAGGCTCACATTGATTTTGTATGGGCCGAAAGAATACCACCAGTGCTGCAAAACTGCCTAAAGTGGCCCACAATCATATGCTATCTGGGAAGGCCAATCTAAAACTTCAAAAAAGAAGACGAAAGTGCTCGTCTCGATTTGAGCAGCACAGAGCCCGACTAGAGTATTTTGGACAGCAGGATTCTGGGCTTGTATGCGGCGCACATGTTCACAAGTGTTTTTTCAGCACCTGTCCTATTTCCTCCTCACCATTCCTGTCTGCCTCCCTCTTTCCATCTTTTCTTCTCCTGTATTCATCAGTCAGTCCATATCTCTACAATAAACACACAGACACACATATACAGTTAAAGTCAGAATTATTAGCCCCCCTCTATATTTTTTCAGACACACATATACAGTTAAAGAGCCCATATTATACATGAAATAAGGTCATATCTTGGTTGTAAGGGTCTCCAACAACAGTCTAATATGCATGCAAGGTCAAAAAACACTTTCATGGTCTTATAATCTGCATTTATTTTTATCTAATTATCCCAGCGACTCCTGTATGAATCGTCCAGTGATTCATTTGTTCCCAAACCCCTCCTTAGCGCGGAGCTAATCTGCGCTGATTGGACCGATGACAGTCTGTCGCGATTGGTCGACTGCCTTCAGTCAGAGAGGGAAATGGCCAATAGCTAATCAGCAATTTAAAAAGTAATCACAGTTCATACACGCTCGATAGTGTAGGCGTGGATTTTAGCTGCCACACTATGGCGAGTGGATAGTGCCACGGATAACCGAACGAAGGAGACAGTCGTGTACTCGCCATACCACACACACACAAAAACACACACACACCTCCGGATGACAACGCTCCCGCTTCAGCCCGCACCCGCCAGGTTTTAGCCTGAGAACCCGCTCCGTTTTCTGCCCGCCGCGCCCGGTCCCGCTAGAGCGGAGAACACAACCAAATATCACCCAGTATACAGTCCAGACAGCCAAGCTGTCTGTACACACACAGCACAAAGTACACAGAGCTCGTTCGTTCGCTCTCTCTCTCGCTCTCTCTCTCCCCGCGCCAGATTTCTGCGGCGCGGGAATACATTTCCGAATAAATCGCGGGAGCAGAACTCTAGCACGGAGCTCCATAAACAAACAGCACGCGTCGCGTTTTTAACGTGACTTTGCACGCGATAAGATAATATATCCAGTTAACCTGATACAGTACACGCGGTTACAAGTAACAAATCACAACTAAATACATTTGCAAGCTAGAGTCAACGAGGCAACAACTTTAACCGCACGTACTTACACTTGAGAAATGTAGGAAGAAACCCATCCTGACGTCCATCAGTTACTCTTTACTGATCCTTCCTTTAACAAACTCAGATGAAGTATTCTTTGTAGCATGTAGCTTCCAGAAGTTTCCAACTGCTTGGTTATAATGCTGATGTTTCATCTTTGGGTAGAGACTCAATATATCCATCTGCAGTGTGACTTCAATCGACCGGCATGTTTGTGGGTGTGCGTGTGTTTGTGGGTGTGTGTGTGTGTGTGTGTCTGGGTTACTGCGTCAGAGGGCGGGGCCTCAGGTTTGAAATCTCCCGGGTTTGCGCGTGCACGTGAAAAACTTTGTTTCGTTCGTACGTCATGGCGAAACACCTAATGAGTCGGTATCAAGGCGACTCGTTTGAAGCACTATGATTCGACTCTTTTATAGATGAATCAACAGTTTTAAACACTGTATTCTTACAGATTTAAGCCTTAGCTGGATACTTCACTTCACTTAGAGCTGTGTTACACACTACATGGAGGGGAATTTTCAAAAACCCATAATATGGGCTCTTTAAAGTCAGAATTATTAGCCCCCGTCTATATTTTTTCCTCCAATTTTTCTTTAATGGAAAGAATATTTTTTTTCCAAAACATTTATAAAACATAATAGTTTTAATAACTCATTTCTAATTTTATCTTTGACATGATGACATTAGACAAGTTAGGGTAATTAGGCAAGTCATTGTTAAACGATGGTTTGTTCTGTAGACAATTGGAAAAATATAGCTTAAAGGGGCTAATGATTTTGACCTTAAAATAGTTTTTAAAAAGCTAAAAACTGCTTTTATTCTAGCCGAAATAAAACAAATAAGACTTTTTCCAGAGGAAAAAATATTATAGGAAATACTATGAAAAATTCCTTGCTCTGTTAAACATCATTCGGGAATTATTTAAAAAAAGAAAGAAAAATTCCCAGGAAGGTGAATAATTTTGACTTCAATTGCACCCTGCTTGAAAACTGCAAATAGGTTCTGCATTATTGCCAAAAATCATTAATCAGCAGCCTTTAGTCAGTAGTCAGACACAATGGTTTTAATATTTGCACCTCAAACATTTGCTGATCTTGTGGTGTTTAGCTCCAAACATGTGGCTCTGTTTTACCCTGCTGCAGTTTCTTCATATCTGCTGATGGCGCAGTAAATCACCACCACAGTCAAGCTGTTAGACGACTGAACTCGGCACAACAATAAGCAGATAAGGAATTCACATATATGCAACAAAATAAAAATAAATGAAAAAGAAAACTGCTGTTTATCTTTTTCCATTAAAAGACCAACTTAATACAAATTTTAGGCATGCAGAATCTTTTAAAGTGTCCCTAAAGACTCACTTTTTTTAGACTTGACTATTTGTGAGGTGTATGTTCTGGCAAAAATGCTGGGTTCCACACAATTCCTTCATGTTGTCTCAACACAAATTGATTAAGTTAACTAAATCCTTTTTAAAAATTTAAGTGGATTGAACATAAAACAATTATGTCTCAAAAAACTCAAGAATTGATTTAATTCAGCTCTTATTAAATAAATAGTTTGAACAAACAGCAGAAATGTTTTTTTCGGTTTCATATTTACAATGTTTCTGACTTGTTTCAATTTTTATATCATTTTTATCCTCTACATAATGTTTTTTTCTGCTATTCTTGCAACTTTTCTTAAGTGCAAAGCACAGTGCTTGACAGTTTTTCAAAGTTACTAGCAACTCTGCATTTTCACTAGCCACAATTTTGTTCTTAGTCAAATACATTTCAAGAGTTCACACTTAGCTGATGATTGATTATAAAGCGTGTTTGCCATGCTGCCCCGGGAAAGACTTTTCTGTGTGGAGTTTGCATGTTCTCCCCGTGTTGGCATGCACTTAAAAAAATCTCTAGTTTTACAGTTTATTTCCGGCAGCTGGGGTACTGGAAAAAAAAAACATTAAATAATGGGCGGTAAATTACAGAAATTTACTGTAAAATGACCGAGGTTAAATTACAGAAATTTACTATAAAATGACAGAGGTTGAATTACAGAAATTCACTGTAAAATGACAGCGGTTGAATTACAGAAATTTACTGTAAAATGACAGAGGTTAAATTACAGAAATTTACTGTAAAATGACAGAGGTTAAATTACAGAAATTTACTGTAAAATGACAGAGGTTAAATTACAGAAATTTACTGTAAAATGACAGAGGTTAAATTACAGAAATTTACTGTAAAATTACAGCGGTTGAATTACAGAAATTTACTGTAAAATGACAGAGGTTAAATTGCAGAAATTTACTGTAAAATGACAGAGGTTAAATTACAGAAATTTACTGTAAAATGACAGAGGTTAAATTACAGAAATTCACTGTAAAATGACAGCGGTTGAATTACAGAAATTTACTGTAAAATGACAGAGGTTAAATTACAGAAATTTACTGTAAAATGACAGCGGTTGAATTACAGAAATTCACTGTAAAATGACAGCGGTTGAATTACAGAAATTTACTGTAAAATGACAGAGGTTAAATTACAGAAATTTACTGTAAAATGACAGAGGTTGAATTACAGAAATTTACTGTAAAATGACAGAGGTTAAATTACAATAATTTACTGTAAAATGACAGAGGTTAAATTACAGAAATTTACTGTAAAATGACAGAGGTTAAATTACAGAAATTTACTGTAAAATGACAGAGGTTAAATTACAGAAATTCACTGTAAAATGACAGCGGTTGAATTACAGAAATTTACTGTAAAATGACAGAGGTTAAATTACAGAAATTTACTGTAAAATGACAGCGGTTAAATTACAGAAATTTACTGTAAAATGACAGCGGTTGAATTACAGAAATTTACTGTAAAATGACAGCGGTTGAATTACAGAAATTTACTGTAAAATGACAGAGGTTAAATTACAGAAATTTACTGTAAAATGACAGAGGTTGTTTACAGAAATTTACTGTAAAATGACAGGTTAAATTACAGAAATTTACTGTAAAATGACAGAGGTTGAACTACAAAAATTTACCAGAAATTTTTATTTTAGGAAATTTCTTTAATTTAATGTCCGTTATTTTATGGTAATTTTCTGTAATTTAACGGCCGTTGTTTATGTTTTTTACAGCACCCTAGCTGCCGAAAATAAACCGTAAAATTACAGATTTGTTTTACAGTGTGGGTTTCCTCCAGGAGCCCTGATAAATAAAGAACTAAGTTTCACACACTTTAAATTATTGAAATAAAAACTGTCAAACAATACCGCACTCATATTCCAGTGAATCACATGACATTTGAATTGAACTGAACGGAATCACTGAATAGAACTGAATGTGACTAATGAACTCATTTCACACTAATACAACTTTACAAGTTTTTTAATACTAATTACAATTAATTACAATTTAATTACAAGTTTTCTTTGTAAAACTTTGAAACAGTTTCCATTGTTTAAAGGGCACCTAGTTTACCCCTTTGTAAAGATTTAATATTAATATTATTCTGAGTGTGCCAGTTTCAAGTTCAGTTCAAAACACAATTCAGATTTTTTATTATAAGGTGTTAAAAAGTGTCATGTTGGGGGTGTGAACACAGGTCGTTTTTTTAGGGGTGTGTTGCTTTACATGAAAATTACTTTAGACTTCCTGCCCTACTTAACAAGGGGGCGGAGCCAAGAGCTCCCCTGCTTTGTGTATGGCAACAGACAAGCAGACAGAGAGAAGCAACCTGTGTGAGGGGACCAGCTTGTATTCTGAGACATATAACCACACACACTGGATTACCTTTGACTGAGGCTATAACTAAGGCAAGTACGTTACTTCCAATGGAGGGATGCGCATGCAAGACAATCAATGACTGGGAGGCAACGCGCCCACACTTTCCAGCCGCACCTAGTTGATGACAGGAAGCTTCTGTGACCACGGGAAATGCAAACGGCTGAAGTTTAAGGAAGACACAATGAAAAGTACACATGTTTGCAAACCCAAGTTACAAACAATGACGCCGATGAGCGATCATGTGGTGATTGTTGATCCGCCAGCCGAAATTAATCACGTTCACTGCGTGTTCGCAAATGGCGGCTAAATGTAAATTCTCTGTTGCTCATTCGCAGGAAGACGATGAAGGGTCTTGTGTTGAGTCCAATGATTCTTACATACAAAAATAGAGCAAGGGTGTTTTTTTTGGTGACATCGCTTTGACTTACATGCTGAAAATGGCAGACGTGCAACACAAACTGAGAATATGCCCCTATAGCAAAAATTCTCTGGCCCAGACCTGGCCCACATCATCAGCATTTGCTTGGCCCACATGCCGCAGTGAATTATGGTACATGACTGAACCAGGTCTTGCTTCCATACAAGTGGCAAACATTGACTACATCTGGGCCAAGTCTCAGCCAAGTTAAAAACACATAACTGGGCCTGAATTGGGCCAGATTGGCCTGTTGGTGTTTCACGACTGCAATGTTTTTCATAAACCCATGAAGCATTTTGCTTTATGGCTGTGCTTTTTCTTGAAGCGACCTGATTGATAGAATTTTTTCTTTGCTCAAAAATAACTTAAATGTACTTTAAAAGTGGGTCAAACTTACGTGGCCCACAAAAACATTTAAACATTTGGCCCAAATACTACATTTGATATCTGGCCCAAGTCTTGAGTGCCGCCTGTAAGACGGTGCCACCTCAGCCAAACCTAGGCCATGTTTGGCCCACATGCTCCATGCCAGTGCCAGATGAATGCCTGCTGTGCCAGCTTTATGCCAAATCTGGGCCAGAATTCTTTGCTACCTGGGTGGTAATGTGCACCTGTCAATCAATATTGGTGGGCGGAAGGACTGCACTCCTACATCAAGTTGCGTTCTGTATCAAAACTGCTCCAATTGTTCCACCATTTTTATGTTGTTAAATAAAATAAAAAAAGAACTGATTGTGTTTATATCACCCCAATATGACGATCTACACACATGTCTGTCCAAACAGCTTGAAAAGTAGATTTTTAAACATAGGTGCCCTTTAAAGTGTCTGTAGTAACTTGACTTGATTGATGCTTCCAAAATAAAATTTCCCCTCGTGTCTGCAACTCACCTGATTTATTTATTCATCTGTGTGTGTTTAGCTGCAGTCAATGGTGGATCTTCTGGAAGGAACTCTCTTCAGCATGGACCTTCTGAAAGTTCACTCGTATATCAACAAGGTGGTGTCTCAAATGAACAACCTGGAGGAGGTGAGTGTGTGTGCGTGTGAACATACACATGCAGATATTAATGAGCCGTGGCTGGATTTAACTGGACTCTGTGGTTACTCACAAACTCTGGCTGAATTATTGCCCATTATACTGTTCTGTCTTGGCCTGAGGGATGGGAAAATCTTATGTGTAAAAGAAAGAACAGGACTGAGGAAGGAAATGTCCAAGCAGAGAAAACCACAGTCATGTAATGGTCACACTTATGTGCCCTGTTTTTATTTCCAATTAAATTTTGCTCATTATCGGAAAGATTGGGACAGAAATTGGAACCGCAAAAAATTCCCGCATGTCATTATCGAATACCTCGGTCATATAAACTGAGGACAATAGTGAAAATGCATCGATTTTGTCATTTTTAAACATTATTATATTTTTTATAACATTCTATTATTTAAAAAAATAAATTATTATTTTTTTCAGCATTAATGCCTAAAATTGATTCAAAATAGCAGAAAATACTGTACATTTAGAACATAAAAATTTTATTTTAAAATATATTAAAATATTAAACAGTTGTATTATTGTAACTGTATTATGGTATTATAGTAAGAAAGTTGATTTAAATTACAATATTATTTCACTGTAAAACTGATTAAAAATAGCAGTAAATACATTTAGAAAATGGTTAAAGATGATATATATTCTTCTGCAGTTAATACTAATATATATATATATATATATATATATATATATATATATATATATATATATATATATATATATATATATATATATATATATATATATATATATATATATATATATATATATATATATATATA